TGGGACGGCATTTCAAACTCCTTACGTACAGCTGCAACCGAAACCATTTTTTTTTTTTCGGAAAGTACAAAAGAACACCTGGTACGAGGAGGAGTGCCGTGTCGCAGCGGAGAGAAAACAGGCTGCCTACCTCGCAACGTTACGATCGACCACAACATGTGCGGGATGGGATAGATACCGAGAGTTGAAGAGGGAAGCAAGACGCATTTGCAGACTGAAAAAAAGACCCCGAAATGCGTGAGTACGAAGAGCTTGATAAGCTGGCCGACAGAGGTAATGCTCGAAAATTCTACGAAGAAATGCGTCGACTAACAAAAGGTTACATGACCGGAGCATACTCTTGTAGAACCCCCAGAGGTGATCTAGTGACTCATGTCCAGAGACAGCCTACTGAATGACAATGAAAGTATAACACCAGGAGAAAGCGAACACGATTCGCCAATTGATGACGATGGAGCAGACGTTCCATTGCCCGGCCATGAAGAATTTCCAATAGCAATTACCCGTCTGAAGAACAACAAAGCGACGGGGGCCGATGGATTGCCGGCCGAGCAGATAAGGAGCATGCATCCAGTTCTTTGTAAAATATAGTGGGACGAAAGCATGCCCCACGATTGGAATTTAAGTGTGCTATGCCCAATCCTCAAAAAAGAGACCCCACAATCTGCGCCAACTACCGTGGGATAAGCCTCCTCAATATCGCATACAAGGTTCTGTCAAGCGTATTTTGTGAAAGAGTAAATCCCACCGTCAATAAACTGATTGCACCTAAATAGTGTGGCTTTAGACCTGGCAAATAAACAAACCGAAAAGATATTCACCATCCGCCAAATCTTGGAAAAGACCCGTGAATGGAAAATCGACACACACCCCTCTTCATCGATTTCAAAGCTGCTTTCGACAGCGCGAAAAGGAGCTGTCTTTATTATTATGTCTGTATTATTACGGCTGTATTATTACGGCTGTATAAACTGACGTTGAGCAAGCCACCAATTAAATGTGTGAAGCTTACGGAGACGATGCTGTATAAATTCGTGTAGCAGCAGCTCAGCGCTCTTGAGTACCATCTACAATTTATTGATGAACAGTAACTCTTTGAGAATAATGCTACGGAATGCTAATGGTCTTTCCAAAAGTAAAAATTAATTAGAAGTTGTTCCGTACGACAGAAATATTAATATATATGTCTATTTAAATTTAAAAATTATGCATTATATCACACACTACACCCGGCAAACTCAGCACGAGGATCGCGTGCTATAATTATCAAAAGCAATATTGAACACTGCGAGGAAGATCCGATTAACACACTCATTGCGTTTAACTGCAACCAAAGGTCGAGAACTTCTCAAAGCTATAGAAGCAGTTGGATGCAATTTTGTTTTTACAGGAAGACCCGCTTATTGGAATACAGATAGACAGAATTTGTCAGACGTTCTTTATAATTAATAAACTACTGAAACTCAATTTATGTATTAAAGATTGCTCAGACTTGAGCTCCGACCATTCCCCAGTGATACTAAATCTGTATGAAAAGCCTTTTATTTTGGCCGCCAAACCAACGTTGTGTAATAAACACACTAATTGGTATAAATTTAAAAGTATAGTGAATAAAGTCGACCCAAAGCTTAAGCACATATCGACTGGTATTGAGTTAGATTGTGAAGTTGCAGAGTACACCAAATACCCGCCTAAATCTAAGTGGTACCAAATACGAAAAACACATTTTTAGAAAGTATCCATAAAAAGAGCAAGATTCGACGGAGATGGCAACAAAGTAGGTCATCTGATCTCAAAACTGAGCTTAATAAATGTACAGCGAAGCTAAGAACACCAATTAAACAGTTTAAAATATTTTCTTTCAAAACTTATCTGTTTAAACTGTTTAAACCTAAGCCGCGTAAGCCGGTACACGATGTTACATCATATAAACCACTTTCGCTGCTGCCAGCTTCCTCTAAAATCTTTGCGAATGTACTCATAAATAGGCTCAAACCAATAATCATTCATAAACACCTCATACCAATAGCTTCCGTGACCACCATTCAACAATTGGTCAGGTACACTGAACCGTTAATTTCGTTGAAAATACAATTGATAAAAAGACAAAGTTGGGCACTGCTGCTCAAACTGAAACACATGCCACCCAAACAATTTTGCGAAATAATTGCTTCGTATTTAAGATATAGATACTTCCGCTTTATACAAGACGATGCATACTCAAACTGGCAAAAGATAGCACCTAGGTATCACCTTAGATTCTAAGCTACGCTGGAAAGAGTATGTCAAAAAAAAAAAGCGAGCTTGGTATGACATTTGGCAAACTTTGTCACCAAGTTGGCAGGAAATCCCCGCTATCAATTCAAAACAAACTGTTATTTTATAATAAAGTCATAAAGCCAGTTTGAGCCTACAAAGCTCAACTATGGGGTTGCTCAAGTCAAAGCTGTATTGCCAGCATTCAACGCTTTCAAAGTAAGGTATTAAGGACTTTAGTTTATTCTCCTTGGTACATTAGATCTGCTGACCTACACCGTGATCTAGGTTGAAACAGCAGCTTAATAAGGAAGCCTCCAGACTCATCGAAACTGCTGAGTGAGAAATCTGGTTGAAACGCAAAAAGCCTTCCGGCCTAGTAAGACAACAGTAGCAGCAAATGTATTTCTTATCATTTAGCTTTTAAGTATCTCTCCTAATTAATAAGACTAGAATTGTTGTTAGTATTTTATTTTTACTAGGTACAATGTACATAAAATAATAATAATAAAACAATAATGAATCGCTCGCTTCTGCTCTGAAAACTTCGAAATCTCGATTTATACTGATGAAACGCGGAAAAATGGCAAAAATTTGTCGACCAAAATGGTACATATGTATGTATTTGTTTATTTATTTATTAGTATAAATATGAAAAAAAAATGAGTTGAAGTTTGATTAGAAATACTAAAAGACTTTTCGACTACCCAATATATACATATGTAATTTGTTATTATATAAAAGATTATTGGTTAAATATATGATAGAATTTAAATAGGACATAGGGAATGTAATTTGGATAAATGTTGTTACGTAATTAGATATTTAAACGGACAGACAGAGGGAGATGGCAAAATCGACTCAACTCGTGATGCTGATAATTAAAAAATTCGATTCACATCTCAGTTAAATTACAAATAAACAAATAAGGAAGGGTTAAGCTTGGGTGTAACCGACTCTACTCTTGCAAAGTAAAATGATATACTCGTATGAGATTTCTGTATATATTTTAATTAGAAATGGGAAGTGTTGCCTCAGTTATTTACATTCACATTGAAATTAATTGAACTATTTTAAATTGCATTAAAGCTGTATGAGGAATATGAAAATAATTCGTTTTTTGACAGTGAGTAAGTATTTATTACAATGATAGATGATAGATGATTAGTATCACGACCTGAGTCGATTTCGCCATCTCCCTCTGTCTGTCCGTTTAAATGTAATACGCGAAATAGTCTCTCAAATTTGAAGATAAGTCGAACGAATTGATATGGTGCGGCGAAAATTCCACTGGATCAATTTGTCCTGGTGATGTTTGAGATATCTAGGCATGACACCGCCCTCTAATAATAATTTAATGTACATACTTATCTCATAAATCACTAAAGTTACAATAGCCAAATTCGCTTGAGATAATTCCAATAGGAACTCTTACCGACAATGTGAAAAAGGATGAAATCGAATGATAACCCCACCTACTCCCCATTCCTTGTGACAAAAAGTACCCGGGAATTGTAAATAAAACGAATTGTAAATAAAACTTTTCCTAAGCATTTTTTAGGATGGCGTTCAGCTCCTTCAGCGAATTTTATTCTATCCTGAACAACTTTGTTAACTTTGGTCAAAATCGTGGCTCGCTGCGGAGATGCATTATCGTCGTGTAAAACTGCAATTCCCGGAGTTTTCGACAGACGTTCTCACGAAAACGCTTCAGTACAGCCAAACAGAACTGCTAATTGACCGTCTGTCTTTCTAGCGTGGATTCATGATGCACCAAACCACGAATATGAAAAAAGCAATGACTATCACCTTGATTTTTGAACGGCTTTCCTCCATTCCGATGATTCTTGACTTGCTTGCACGTCAAACTCATAAAACCATGTTTAGCACTGGCCTGACGATTTTCAAGAACCATATCATTCATCTTTTTAATATTTTAATAAATGAAAGACGTCGAAGGTCGTTCAGAACGAGGCATGTCTTAAACCATCTCTCGACCGTATTTGAAGGCTTTGCATCCTTTTAAATTTGAGTTTTTTGATAAATCTGAATCACCGCAAGCCTTTTCGAACATTCGCAACGATTCCGTACACAAGATTTGGTAATAAAAAATTGGTAATAAAAAATTTAATAAAAAATTAGGGAATTTTTTATCGATATTTTAATCCATTGTAAAAACGCAACGCACTACTGAATTGTACCTAATTAAACACGAAATGGAATTGAACATCTCCAAAACATCGATTTATCGCATCTTGACCGAATAATTGAGCTTACGAAGGGTGTATGCACACTTTGTTCCGCACAAATTGACTGACGACCAAAAATTGCTCAAAATCCAATACTCGGAGGACGATTATTTGACCAAAAATTACTTTTTAACCATTAACCACTCCTGGTATTCACCTGATATGGGACCGTGCGACTTCTTTATTTTCGGAAAAATGCATTTGCCGATGAACGTAGAGGCCATTCAAAAAGCTTGCACCGGTATACTAGCGGCCATACCGGCCAACGAGCTAAAACACTCGTTCGACATACTTTTGGACCGTGCAAAAAGCTGTATTGTCATTCACCTCGAAATGGATCACACTTTACAATAACTTCCAACAACTGTAAATTATGTTGTTGCAAGCATAAGTGAGCTGCGGAATGAGATCCAATGTTATAGAAACTAAACGTAACGATTCACTAATACATTTATATATTAAAATACATCGCTATTTTTATAAACTAAAGCTTACCGATTTACGGCCATATCGATCACTTAATTGAGTCCAAAATGAGGGGCTAATAATCATTCCCAAAAATACAATTGTTGTCATAAAAGCTTTTTGGTACGTAGATATGTTCCATTCGCATTGTGTTGTTGGTCCAATGATACTGAGTATGGTCATTTCCATAGAGTCGGCCATCCAACATAGACCAACAAAAAGTGATAGTTTAACGTGAAACCATCCAAATCCTAAGAGATTCACTGCTTGCTGAACGGTGTATGTATCTAGTAAAATATAAATTTATAATCTGGCAATATCATATACAAATTAACGGTCGCCTTAATACTTCAGATCTATCATAAATTTAAATAAAAATGTATCTTAACTTGCGTACCTATGAATCTGTATAAATAAAATCTTTATCAACTATTTTTCCGTCAATGAAGAGATCGAATACCCTTACGGTAAGGCTGATAATCTTTTAATGCTGTCCAAGAAACAAGTCCTTTTTTCGATGTCGTCTTCTGAGTGGAACTGCTTTTGAGCCAGACCATGCACCAAATTATTATTGTACAATGCAATATCTGGGAAACAAGGCCGGTGGGAAGGTACTGCCAGTTTAAGCGTTTCCAGGAATGTTTTAACGGGATTGGCAACGTGGGGCCGAGTGCTGTCATGCAGCAGAGTAATTTTTTTGTACCTTTCCTGGTGTTTAGGTCACAAGGAATTCAAGTTTCTTCGTCAAGTTTTTGGACTTCCCGGTGAGCTCCAGTGGCCAATTTCTTTGGTTAAAAGAAAAAAATCATCACTTCCCGCAAAAAATCGGACACATTTACATTTTTATAAAAGTATATTTTACAAAAACAAAGTCACTAATGTGGGAACGCAATGTCTAGGTTAAGTTTATTACGTTTTAAATTTATCAAAATCAGTCACCACTATTTGCTGAAGCCATCTGTTTAAATTTGAACATGTTCGTTGCTACCAAAGGGCGGGAAGTTAAATAATATATTTAGTTCTTTTTTATATATTCTACATATACGAATATTAAATAAAATAAGATAACACATACAGTCCACTAATTTTAAATAATAATTCGTTTTCCTCGGTAATATGTTTAAATATTACTAAACATGCTTCCTTGTTTAGTGTCAGCAAAACCGAGATATTATAATATTATAAGACGGTTGTATATTAAACTGAACACATAAGTCGTTTTAGGAAGAAACTAAACGGAGTGATCTAGCTGCCATCCAACACCATAGTTTGGATTAAAGAACATCAATGTTCTAGAAGAAAATTTAAAATCTGAGGAAAATTATGGACGATTTTAATATGAAAACTGTGCTAAGAAATGAACAAATAGTACATTTGCAAATTATGTTCAATCAAATGAAAAAAGATGTTCAACAATTTAATTAGCAATGCAGAAATTGACAACTTGAACGAGGAAATTGCTGAACAATATTTCCAAGAAGTTAAAATTATCAAAAAAAAGGAAAAAAAGAAGAGCTCAACAATACGTCATAACTTGGAATTGGAAAAATTAAAAAATCCAATATTTTACGGCAATGATAAAGAACCTAAACTAACTAATGTGGTCCAATAAATCTAGGAAGAAAAACTAATAACACTTTCATTACTCCCGCTATCTTCTGCAACTACAAAAGGATCAATTGAGTTAGTTCAAACATCAGACATAGCTAAAGTAGAATTTGTAGGCTATGTATATGTACATACATACATAAGCAGACATACATATATATGTATGCATTTAGATGCAATGCGCATACAATAATACCTAATAATAAAAATGTATATACATAGGAATTGTAAACTAAATGGCTAAACATAAGTCATAAATTTATTATACACTTTGGAAACCCATATCAGATAACAATAAGCACACAAACACATGTATTGAATTGTACACTTGAAAACAAACACATATGCAGTATAAACAATATGCTAAAATGCAAAAAGTATATACATATACTTACAAACATGTACACATACACATACATATATGTATTTAATTAGATAAGACCAGATTCCTAAAATAGTATATAAGCAATGAAAATACAAAATAAAAATTAGAATGAAATAATTTTCCCTCGATGCAAGTCTTTCATTGCCCTCCACCAGAGGTATTGAATAAAACTCATTTATGTATGTAATAACACCATCTGTTTACAGAGAGCGTGAACTTAGTTATGCACCTAATATGTATAGTATATATGCATGTTGTTATTAAATAACTGTTTTGTAAGAGAAAAAAGTTTTGAGAGGAAAAAATATAAATTAAAAATACTTATTATATTGAAATTTGTACATAACACTTTGATTGAGAATTAAACCCTTACTTTCCAATACGTTATAAGCATCTGTTAAAGCAATTTATGCTTTTATTTATTATTATTGAAGCCAAATTTGCGTCCATAATACTTAAAAAGGTTTTAATAATATCCTTATATCATTTTTTTGAGGACTAAATTCTATTGGCTTATTTACATCGCATTAGAACTAATTATTAATTTAATTTGTGTATATATTTAGTAACAATTCAAAGTAATTTCTGATGTTATAATTTCGAAGTATAAACGCTTGTTTACTACCGAAAGTTTTAATTAAGATTGTTTTGCATTTCAAAATAATAGAGAAAGTATGAAAAACATGTAATGCCTAACCTTGAATTTTATTTAGGAGCACCCTTCGATAAAGCTTACAGAATTGTGCCAAGAATGAATTGTTGAATTTATACCAGTGGTGGCCACTTCATAGCACAATTCCAAGAATGATTCTCTATCATTCTTGGCACAATTCTGTAAGCTGACTAAAGGGATGTTCAGTTTATTCCAGAGCGCCTCAAAATTAGCATTTTTTATAATAATTTTTGGTCATTTAAATTAAAACACCCTACATTTAGTACGAAAGAAAAATACTAATATTTTTATGGTTATGTTAAAACAACGGATTTTTGATACACCCATTAAAAGGATTTAAGCTTTCACTTCTCAATTATTAAAAGTTTTTAATAATTTTCCATTGAAAATGAATGCTATGAACAGGTTAGAGAACAAAGACAAAGAAATAGAGAAAATGTACAACTGAGTAGAGCACGAAATGTAATAAATACTACAAATTTAATTTAATTTGAAGTTGATAAAAATGTTGATATTAACTCACTTCCTTTGGGAAGCTCTATCAAATGTGCATGAACTAAATTACTGGAAAATGGGAATTGTTTGGCTAATAATTTTGCTTAATAGTTTACAATGCGTGAAACAAATTCTTTCACTACTATGCATTGTCACAACTATTAAGATCCGTCTTCCACTATTAATACAAAAAGATTTTTTTAATTCATTATATGATGGTTTTCCATCAAATGATAGAAATATAAGGAAAAATAATCGAGGCTACAATTCGGTCTATGCAAATAAACGAAGACCATCATTGAGTTATCAATATCACATTTTGCATAAGTCCCAAAAACAAGAGACGATTTTCCAATTTTCCATAATTTTTTGTTTGTCAATGATTTTTTTACAGTATTGTGCATCTACATATTTCTAAGAGAACCAATAGGACCATCCAAACTATCACCGGGGTGGAACTTCATTGACGATATGTATGTAAATATATAGGAGTGCTGGGTCTTATATAAGTCATAATTAAAGTCAACGAAAAGCACACAAAGTACTAAAAATTTCTTTCCATCACTTATTGTTCTTTTGTACACTTCCTTCTGACGCCAGAAATATGAGTATTTTAAGTTTATTTTCCATAACATTTGTTGTTGTTAGAATTTTGTTTTTTCCATACACTTGAAGAGTATTAAATATCATTTTAAAAAACTCAAAAACTTAAATAAAACAAGATGTTACACTTTATTTTGACTCTGACTGTAAGTGAAGACAGAAGGATGTCAATACGATCGGTAAGTCATAGAAGGATGTCGACTACATTTTATAAGACAGTATTAAATGAATTTGAGGGCAGTTGTGTATAGCACTATTTCTGAAATATTTGCAAATGAATGAAGTAATGAATCAAGCTTAGGTCGTAAATCGAAGTTAAAGACTTTATATCTGACATTTGGAATAAAGATGCTTTTAGCAAGGTATGGGTCTTCTATGCACATACATATGTATGTACATAAGTATAATAAGTGATAATAATGTTTCCGTTGATGTTAGAGGAAGCTCTTTAGATAATCATATATATAGGTGCGTATACAAGCGTTTCAACAGTGCAACTTTTTAAATTCAAAGCGAGAATACAAACGAAAATGTCCAGCAAGTAAAAGATGATATATATGAACTTAGAAATTTTTTGAATGGTCTATATCGACTGGCATCATTATGTCCTCGTTTATCTGCACAGGCCCAATTGTAGCCTCGATTATTTTTCTTTATATTTCTAACATTTGATGGAAAACCCTCATATAATGAATTAAAAAAATCTTTTTGTATTAATA